TTATAATAACACAGCAATGTGCCAACACAGGGCTCCAGACTGAGACCAAGATGTTCTCATATGTGACCATCTTTGAACGTGTGCCAGCTAAAGTTCCACCATCATCAGGCTGATCTGGTTCCTTCTGTTGACACAGGTAGCTGTTGGTATTGTGGTTGGAAATAGTCATATTTCTTCCACAGTGACTCAATCTCTCTCTGCCTGACGGTTAAAACAGTCAGTTTCACTGGAACCGTGTTCCAATGACAAAACAATCCGACACACCGGATGATAAAAGTGTTCCGGTGCAGGCAGAGAGATCTCCACTGAGTTGGTTAGGAACAAAAAGTAGCCCCACATTCAATCTGGAAGGTTCACATTTTAACAGTGTAAGAAAAAGCATTCACTTTTACCACGTTTTGTTATGTTTTAGAATAATAAAACAGGTTAAATTCATTTTGTCTCATCAAACCAGAGGATTTTGTTTCTCATGGTCTGAGTGTCCTTCAGGTGGATTTTTGGCCAATTTTAGGCGGGCTGCCATGTGCCTGTTACTGAGGAGTGGCTTCCGTCTGGCCAGTCTACCATAGAGGCCTGATTTATGGATTGCTGCAGAGATGGTTGTCCTTCTGGAAGGTTCTCCTCTCTCCACAGAGGAACACTGGGGCTCTGACAGAGTGACCATCAGTTTAGATGGCCGGCCAGCTCTAGGAAGAGTCCTGGTGCTTCCAAACTTCTTCCATTTACAGACGATGGAGGCCACTGTGCTCATTGGGACCTTCAATCCTCTGTCTCTGAGGTCTGTAGACAGTTCTTTCGACTTCATGCTTGTTTTGTGCTCTGACGTGCACTGTCAGCTGTGGGACCTTATGTAGACCGGTGCCTTTCCAAATCATGTCCAGTCAACTGATTTGACCACAGATGGACTCCAGTTAGGCTGTAGAGGCATCTGAAGGATGAGCAGTGGAAACAGGATGGACTCGAGCTTCATGGCAAAGGCTGTGAACACTTATGTACATATGCTTTCTTAGTTTTTTATTTTTAATAAATTTGCAAAAATCTCAAAAAAACATTTTTCAACTTGTCCTTATGGTGTATGTTGTGTAGAATTTTGAGGGAAAAAATGAATTTAATCCATTTTAGAACAACATAGCAAAATGTGGTAAAAGTGAAGCGCTGTGAATACTTTGCGGATGCACCGTATGTGGCCCGGGCTGAAAACGAGTTTGACACACTTCTGGTTTAGACCATCGGCAAGCCATTAAATAGAAAATGAGATGAGACGTGCTGGAGTCTGTTTGATGCCGAATGACTGATGATGTTGTGAGTTTAATGTCTAGTAAATCAGAGCAGCATGCCTGGAACGTTGGCTCAGTCAGTAACTGTTGGTGGGGTCAATGAAATGTCAGTTTTGGTCATTTCATGGGATTTGTTGAAATTAAGAAATACACTGTACATTCTGTATATACACCTTCTTCTCCAGTGTAGTGTAATAGTCAGAGGAAGCCTCCGTATCTGTGATTGATTACGGTGTGTGCATGTACTCGCTTCTGAAGGCAATTTAGCTGAAACACATCTTAAACACACACAAGCTGTTCGATTGTGGAAAAAAAAAAGGTTTTTTCTATTTGTGATCAGCAAGAGAAGACTGTTGGAGTTTAAGTTTAAGGGGGTTGTTAAAGGCGCTACCTGTGCACAGCAAAAATGAGGAACAGGAGAGAAACACTGAAGAAATGTAGCATTGTGGGGAAATATTTTGTCTACAGAATGGATGATGTGACCAATAACACCCTGTCGGTGGTGTCTTGCAGCTGTTGTGAACACATGAGGCAGCGTGACTAATGCGTTCGACTGTTCAAATCGGCTTCGCAAAGCTTGGTGTGATGAGTTCAAGGCCAGATCTGAAGACTGTTTTGCGTGCTTTTGCCAGTTCATACGAGAAAGCTTGCAAATCGCTTTTCTCAGCTTATCTAAAAAAATTTTGCTAGTTTTGATGCCGATGCACTTACTCACTGAGTCGCTCCAATCGTTCTGCTGTGACGAGCTTGTTTTTAATCGTTGTTCAAGTGAGAAATCTTATTGTTAAAGTGACTGTGGTTTTCAGTCTAGTGTCACCCCCTCCCTCTACTTTCCCACCTGAGAACGTTTAGCCTCTGCAAATTTCATATCCTTTTTCTTACCACTCAGAAAATTCATGTGACTTGATCACCACCTATTAAATAATGCCATGTCTAAGAGCCAAAAGCAATTTCATGTTCCTGCTTGTGTGTGACCAGTAAGATGACGCTTATGTAACTTTTGGCAAAAGGCCACGTTGACTTATTGCAAAATCAGAACTTCCTCTCTGGGTTTTGTTCTCTTCATCTGTGAATCTGAGCTTTCATTTGAAGGGGGAGTTTTGGTAATAATCATTGTAATCTAATATGTGTTTGGTAATGGTGCAACAGGTCACAAAAACATTTTTCCGACTGCCAGTCTGTCGCTCTTTGTGACACTAATAAAACACAGAGAATATATCTTATCAGCATTCGCACACGTACACAATTAAACGGAACACGGTGTGATTTGAGTTAATCATTGACTGAGACGAAAACATGACTTTAAACAATAAAAAATGCTTTAATTATGAAGAGAATTCTGGCAGTTAAAGTATATGAATATATAAACATCTTTAAACAAATGAGTGACTATGTACTGTTCACTTCTAAACGTGTGAATTCATGTTTCCCAGTTTGTCATTCAGATTAAAATACAACCCAACACTGGACTGTGGACCCAGCAGGCATTTTATTTACTGTTAAGAACTGTGCATTGTATAAGCTGTGATGTGACAAAATGTGTGGCTTTTGATGTATAAATGTGATTAAAAGGCATTTTTATGAAAAGGAAAAAAAAAAAAGGAGAAGTGTGTCACAGATTTTTTGGACACTGAAGTTTATTTCTTACTGACCGGCAGTTCTTAACAGGTTTTTTGATAACAAATGTTCACACATAATCACTTTTGTTTCTTTCAGTGTCAGAGGAACAGGAACAGAAAGTTTTTTTTGGTCCTTAAGTTTTCTTTAGTGTCAGGCCGGTCAGGTCAGGTCATAATCATCGCATATTATGAAAAGCAATAAAAGATAAAATACTGATGAACCTTTGACATGAAGGAATATGTCTCAGCGTTGCCATCTACTGGACAGCCAGGCTATGACATGTTGTTATGCCTTAACAGAGCAGTAAAACCACATGAGAATAAGGTTTTATAGTTGCCCGTAGAGTACCGTAATTGCCGCTGCTATTTGCCCACGCTTTATTATGACACTGACGACTTTAGTGGTTTTAGTGCACAGGAGGAAGTTGAAGATAGCGATCAATGACTTCTCCTGGTAAGCGACTGTATTTTTTTGTTTTTGTAACCAGCAGTGTTACGGGCACTGTTCGGAAAAGAATTCAAAATAACAAGTGCGACCTATATATATGTACAGTTTCTTTACTTTTTAAAGCTAGTGAGTGCGGATTATATTCAGGTGCGCTCAATAGTCTGAGAATTACGGCAATTGTGCCTCTGTGTGGTTTTTTTTAGTTTATTTTTTTGTCTGTTAACAGTCTAGTGCTTTACAGGAGAGGAGTTTGAACCTGAAACTTTACATATGACTTCAGTATGGTCTCTTCTTGGACTGATTAGATTTTGGGGTCAATACATGCATCGGCTACGGAGGTCAAAGGTCCCAAAACCAGCTCTGTATGACTGAAAATGCACAAAAAGGCATACATTTAGTATACTAGCTTAGAAAGAAATTCGAGGCCTATACACTGGTGATGTAATATATGACCTTAACTCAAAGGTCAAGGTCACACTAAAGGTCATAAATCATCACAAATTTAAAATCCATTAAAGCTTGGAAAAGGTGTAAGATAATCACACATAGTTTCTTATTACAATCAGATAGGAACCCATATTGGAGATGTGACTTGGATGAAAAATCAAGGTCGTAAATCTCAGGTGCTTAGCCGTAAATTACAGCAAAACGATTCCCCTCTATGCAAAACCTCAGTGTTACATGATAGACTAAGCTCTTGTTACATTATGGATCATTTTAAGACAAAATCAAGATGAGTTCGTCCTCAAGGAGGCGCACAGAAAAAAAACACAGAATCAGGTAAAGATGCTGCATACATTGGGCAACTAGGTCTGTCTACTGGGTGTTGGGGTGGTTATCACAGAGCTGAATAGACAGCAATGTTCCTGACAGATTAATAGGCACGTTTGGAGAAGACAGCTTGTTCTGCAGCATTACCTTGTGCTTCTTTTGTGCCACCTCAGATCAAAGAAGCAGCTGGTTCAACTGCATACTTTTGGAAGATGCGTGGGAGGGGAACTTTCTGCAGAGTACATGTGACTCTAGAAAAATAACGATGTCTATTTATGATCATTCTTCCGCATACAATATTCTACTATTTAACAACTGTGTGTCAGAATGACCACAAGTAAATATAACAAGGTCTCGAAATATACTAATTACTGACAACCCTGAACAGGCTTGTCTGACTCTTTTGCATCAGCATCCTAATCAGACCTAAACTCACTGAAAAATGAATGCCTGAAACTTTAAATATAGTAAATAGTTTGTAACACTCAAGCAAGTCCTCACAGGAATATAAACAAATCACTTTTTGTCTTTGGTTAACGTTATCTTTATATCTATTTTTTGATAAAAGGTGCTGGGTAGGGCTGCAAGGTGGATCGGTGGTTAGCATAGTTTCGTCGCAGCAAGAAGGTCGTCGGTTCGTGTCCTGGTGAGGACACCCGGGATCTTTCTGCATGGAGTCTCCATGTTCTCCCGGTGCAGCGTGGGTTCTCTCCGGGTTCTCCGGCTTCCTCCCACACAGTCCAGAAACATGTTGAGGTTAATTGGTGCTTCTAAATTGTCCATAGGTGTGAATGTGAGTGTGCTTGGTTGTCTGTCTCTAAGTGTAGCCCTGTGATAGACTGGTGACCTGTCCAGGGTGTCCCTTGTCTTCACCCTGAGTCAGCTGGGATAGACTCCAGCCCCCCATTACCCTAGTGAGGATTAAGCGGTGTATAGATGATGGATGGATGGAGGTGCTGGGTAGGAAGTGTTCAAGGTTCTGTCATGTCTTGAGGATCGGTCCGGAGAGGTTGTTTGTGAGCTGAACCAGTTTTGCAGCTTCACATAGAAGCAGGAGTTCACTCTTATGCCTTAATTCAAGCTTCGTTTTCTATTCAAAGGCAACAATCGAAAACAACCAGCAAATAAATAATTTTTTATCAAGGGTCACAGCTAAAACACTTCCCGTCAGATTAATATCAAGTTTCATAACCTATTGATTTGACATCGCTGAAGCATATCTGTGAGAGACATCAGCTCTCATTGTGCGGGCCGGCATCGAAAGTCAGTCTGTGTGGCTTTAGATGCTGTTTACTCTGCTTCAAGGCCACGATAACATCGCTCGTATTGTGCTCGGCCTCGGCGTAGCCCTCTGCATGCATGCATGCATGCATGCATGCATGTGAGGGTTTCGAAAAAAGAAGAGTGAAAAACAGATTTGAAAGATTAATTCACATCTGGTCTCCAGCAGACCTTTCAGCCAATCAGTGCTTCCACATGGCTTTAAAGGAGGTTTGCAGATTTCTAAGCAAATTATATAGATGTACGGATTAAAATTAGGATGATAAGATGTTTGAATTCCTTTTTTTTATTGCAAAGTTATTGAAAAGCAGTCTCACATTACACTGTAAGGTATGACTACTGCTTCGTCCGAGTCCTGTTTGTTAAATGTATGTTTATTTGTCTTCTTTTTTTAATTAGGGCTGCAGCGGCACTCTGTTCCCTTCTTCTTTTGTACCACGTTTTGAAGTCAGTCTAGCAACTAGTATTTGAAATGCGAGTGAGACGAGTTCTTCTTTTTAAATGGTTTAATTAAAAAAAGAGGATCAAACATTGTACAGACTCACACGGTCAAAAAACGATGTAGCTTCCAACGTCTCTGGCTTCAGTCTGACCAATAAGCCTCATCGACTGCATCACAGTGACGCAACATTATTGAACTAGAGGCACAAATCAAACTGTTTTTAAACTTAACAGTAAGTTGTGCGTTTATCAAACACATTCTTTTAAACCACAATGAAATTATCAGTTTTTAATGTTACCATTTTTAACTTCAACTAAGTTACTATCAAATGTAAAATAATAAATTTGGCTCTAACAAGGGCCATGTTCATTCTCTTTTTTTCTTTAGTCTTTTTTTTTGCTCACACTCTTCGTTTCATTTTTTTTTTTTTAAATTCAGACAACAGACACGAAATTTTATGTATGCACTATTTTCGTGTTGTCCCATAATATTTGACAGCCCCAGAGATTCATCCACCCTTTGACTGTTGTCATGTCTCATACTCTCCACCAGAGGGAGCTCATACTTTGTTCTTCCTTCTACTAGCCTGTCCCATAGCGGAGCTTCTCTTTGAATTTGGGCCTGCTATAACATGCCAGTGCCAAACTGCTCAGAAAGATCTGACCATGATGGCCAGACACAGTGGGAGGATCCTGAAGGTTAATGAATGCATTAATAAAGAGGGATTTTTCTGATGCCAATAAAAAACAACAAAAACAGGCCTTCATTATTAAAGTAGACATTTTAACTGGTCCTGGTAGGAAACGTACAGGTTTTTACTTAGTTAGTGTGTTTTCAAATGAAATTAAATCAAGTTTATCATCATCTTGCTGTACATACACAGTAGTGCAGGCAAGATGAGAGAGTGTTTCTTCAGGATCCAATAACTTAAAGCAGTTTGAATAAAGAAGTGTTTGCATGTCTGGATCAGCAGTTCAGCATTCTGACAGCTTCTTTCAGGTTCTTTCTTTAATGCTCCGGAAACATTTGCCTGATGGCAGCAGTTCAAACAGTTTATGGAGAGGCTGTGAAGAGTCCCTGACAATGTTCAGCTCCTGCCGCAGCTCTGGAAAAGTTCTTAGACAGAGGTGAGGGAAACTCCGATGACCCTCTCAGCTTCTCTAACTATCCTCTGCAGAGCTTTTCTGTCTGACACACTGCAGCTGGAGGACCATGTTGAGATGCAAGATGTCTCTCCATCACACCTCTGCAGACAGTCCTGAGGATGCTGGCTGGCAGGGAGAGAGGCTTGTCTCAGCTTCCTCAGGAAATGCAGTCTGTGCTGGGACCGTTCGCTGAGGTGTTCTTATGCCAGCTCAGGTCCTGTGAGAGTTTTTATTAACAATACTATAATACTTACAGTGAGAAGGGCAACACCGTAATTTCTTTTCAATGTATTTGAAACTTACGGGAACAAATACACATTTATATGACACGTTGCATGCGTTTCTGTATTTTTATCTCACATAGTAACGCACAATAGCTAGAGCAATTCACCTTTCCTTTTGCTGAATTTCAGAATCTACACTTAGGCTTGTGGTTACTAACAGGTCTATAAATGAAGCACAGTTTCAGCTGTTTTCTTCTCAGTGTTTGGTTTAGACTAAAGCACAGGGGCCAGTTAAACTGCCGCCTCTAAGGACACAGCCGAAGGACAGCAACAAGTTCTTGTTTTTTTGCTTTTAAGTTGTTGTTTTTTTTCATTTCAGGGGAGTTCTTCAGACTTAACCTTGTATTCTATCTTTCGCCATCTAGGTTTCAGTATCATAACATCACAGCAGCTTTACAAGATAGAGATCTTTCTTGTAATCTAAGGATGCAAACACCTGAATGCAAATGGTTGTGACTCACAGGATGCACGTCAGTCCACATCTAAACCTACAGGAAACACCGCCACACCGTCTGTCTGTGTGTGTGTATAGTACTCAGTATGAAACAAAGGCAGTCACTGCTGGAAGATGACGCTGCTTCGTTGGTCCATACTGTTGCTCTGTCTTTCTGTCAACTCCGGTACGTCTGTTTACTTTTCTTAAATAACTGAAGCAGATTTTGATGTAGTTGATCTCTGCCTGCAGAAATGTTCACTTAACAAGCTTACAGGAATAATTTAAAATGGTGCAAAACAGTTTTTTCTTTGGATTTTAGGATTTTTTGTTTATTTATTCAATCATGCAGATGTCTTATGTGTTTTTCTAATCAAATGGTTTGTCTCTTTTATGACAGAGACCATCATAAAGAATGAAGGATTAGGCCAGAATGTCACTTTGAGGTGTTCTACAACTCCAGTAAATAAGTATAAGGGGATGTATCTGTATCATAAACTTGCTGAAGAGGAAGAAGTGTTTTACTATCAAAAAGATAACAAGATTTCGCCACGACAAAGATACGATGGCAGGATTCAGACAACAGGGCCTCTTGCAGACCACAGTATCACCATCAGCAACCTGACCGTGGAAGACTCTGGATTGTACACCTGCACCTACACTGAAGGAGTCAACAAAAAAGACGGACACAGCGTCTACGCAGTTTTTGTAGCAGGTGGGCTTCTCAAACTTGACTCACTTTTCTTGGTGGTAGAGTCACCAAAGTGCTTAGCATTGTATATATATATACTGTACTGTTGTTCATTTATCCATTTAAGAGGTGACCCTTGTGTTTTGCCACAATCTTAGTTTGGACATTTAATGGAAGCGACAAAAGTCAGTCGTATCAATGAAATGTATTTAATTATATTAACCTATATGCATTAATACTTATGACAGGTGAGAAGTCAACTTCTTGTTGTTATAAACCTCCACTTAGATCAATCCTTAATGATATATGTGCGTCACAGCAAGAAGGTCGCCAGGATCTTTCTGCGTGGAGTCTCCATGTTCTCCCCGTGCAGCGTGGGTTCTCTCCGGGTTCTCCGGCTTCCTCCCACACGGTCCAAAAACATGTTGAGGTTAATTGGTGATTCTAAATTGTCCATAGGTGTGAATGTGAGTGTGCTTGGTTGTCTGTCTCTAAGTGCAGCCCTGTGATAGACTGGTGACCTGTCCAGGGTGTCCCCTGCCTTCACCCTCAGTCAGATAGATGATGGATGGAACTCCATGTGAAGAACTGCAGACACCAGTCAAACATAGAAAGTATATGCAAAGCCGTTGTACTAAAAGCAACCATCATAGCCAAATCTTGCTGACTTTTGACCTTTTCATCTGGAGAAAGTGCAAAATAGGGACATTTGCTTGTAATGTAGTATTTTTAAACAAAGTTTTTACCACCTACGATATGTAAATGATCTGAATATGAACACACCACCACTGAGGAATAATGTCAACAGTACGGAGAACATTTTCAATATGTTCGACTGTACGCAAAGGCAATATCTATCTTCTTATTTTAGATGAGTTCTACTTCATGGAGAGTTATGATTAAAATTGCAGCTTAATATTTGAAAGCATATTTAACACAGTCACATGTGTTTTCACATTTCATCTGGTGTGACTCATGTTTGCCTTTGTTTTACACGGGAACAGCATCATGTCCAGGGCTCGGCAACCTTAAACACTTAAAGAGCCATTTGGAAAAGAAAACACAGGGAGCCACAAAACCCTTCTGACATCTAAAATGAAAACAGCACTGCATATATCGTTTTTACCTTTATGCTATGTATATAAAAAATAAATAAAAATTTAATTAAATAAATTAAAAAAAAACTATAGTGTGTTGCATTTATGAAATCAATGAACTGCTACAGAGGAAACAACATTTTATTTCTGCAACAAAAAATTTGAACTCCGAAATAAAAGACGCTGCGTTCAAGGTTACGGCGATTGTGACGTATATTTTGAGCGACAAAACAATTAAACACTTTTTTTTTTTTTTTTTTTTTAATGTTACAAATTCACAAAAATCTTCAAAGTTAGAACTACATTTTAAAAACTAACGAGCTAAAATAAAATACATTAAAATTAAAATACTCATTATTTATTTTCCAAAGCCACAAGCAGCGGCAGCACAAGGAGGAAAGGGCCGCGGGTTGACGACCTCTGCCCGTGTCCGTCGCCCACCGCCGAGGAGAGAAGTCCATCTCTGCTGTTGATCATCATCGCCTGTGTCATTGCCGCCATCATCATACTGGTGACTCTGACCGTCATCATCCTGATCCTGCCGAGGGTGAGTTCAGTTCTCAAAGCGCAACTCGTACGTGTTTAGAAACATCTTTATCAATCTGTCACACGCCGTCTCTTCAAAACCACATCGCTACTATATATGACCACGTCCCCTGAGCTCACGTGCTGATAACATCTGAGACCACTGTCTGCATCTGGAGCAGCTTCTGAGAACTGGTTGCTTTTTTTTTTTTTCTCACTCTCTCTCAAGAGAAACAAAATTCTCTTTGTGAGATAAACCAAAGTTAATGATGATCTAACATCATGTTCTTAACTCTGCTACATCTAGATAACCCACTTAATTATACTCAATCCACCAAACATTGTACAGAAAAGCCACTTTTCATTTTGCTTTACAATTCACTTCAGTTGCTTTTGCTGTAACCAACATCACCAGAGAAACATTTCTAGAGTTGGTTCCTTTCAAATGATCATAGTGAGAAGAATTAATAAATTGAGTTTATACTGTTATTTGTCCAAAAAACACAGTGTTCGGCTTCTTTATATTTCCATTTATTGACTGAACGTACTGCTCTGAAATCTGCACATACGTTATAAAAACACTCTCTTCTGTTGTATTTCAGGTGCGACGGTGCAGAGGCAGCAGAAGAAGAAAAAACAACGCTCTGCCAGGTACCGGTGATGGCGTTTATGAAGTCATGACCAACAAAGGCCTCTACCCCATCGGAGATCCAGAGTAGTCGTCTGGATTTGCTGAGCAATACTCTCACCTAGCCGGGCGTCTTCTTCATGAGGGTTGGTTTAAAAAAAAATCAAAAAGGTTTTTGCAGGATTCAACTTTTAATTTCAATCAACATGCACGAGAGAAGAGATTAGTTCTACTTGAAGTATCACCAAATTCAAATTATTCCTAATAATATAGGTATTGTTGATCAGTATTTGAACTTATTAGGGACTGACGTTTAGTTCTGATTATTACAGACCATAACAGATTGTGGTTTACCACTCAAATAAGAATAAAAACTTATTGGAGTGAGTCTGATAACGGTCCAACAGCGAACAAACGAATAAAACAGATAAAAATGAGGAACTGTCAGGAGAGGTTCAGAGAAGTACAGAAGGGTTAATAAATCACTGAAGGACAGGGGTCCAACTTGGCAAATCTTTATGTAATCTGTTTGGTATTAAACACCATCAGTTAATGTTTTTGGTTTGTACGATTAGCCAGAAAGATCTGGGGCAGATATTCATACGAGAACTGTAGGATGTGAAACTGTGCTTGTCGGTAAATGAAAAAAGAAAAACAAACGGGGGGTGGGGGGCAGGGCGGATGTGGTTTTCATGTCTGCATGCAGAGCTCCTGCTAAATATGTGAATATAAATACATATCAGATGTATTGCTAATAGAATTAATTAGATTCAGATCTTAAAAATGGCAAACGTGAAACCGAGAATTCTGGAAGTGTGGGTGGTGATGGTGATGGATTCAAGGATTCGAGGCCTTTATTGGTCACAGTCGCAGATATACATGATATACGGTGCAGTGAAATGCTTTGTGCAGCTGTTCCACACAGAAACAATA